TGTGTAGCTGCCAATGCAATCCTGGTGGGAGGAAGGCAGGCATCAGTAGAGGTCAGAGATCAGTACTAGGTTAGAAAGGGGCAGTGAAGGGGTCAGTGGTCAGCACCAGCAGGGACTGGAGTAGCAGGGAAGGGGCATACTTCATAAAGGGAAGCAATAGGGAACAAAGGGTCTTATGGATGTCAGGGGGCATTAGGGAGGGCAGAGGGGACAGACGAGGCCAGGAAATGTAGTGGAGGTCAGAGGTCATAATGGAGGTCAAAGGACACACTAGAGTGAGGGATGGATTCTGCTCACCGAGTTCTTCTGGAAAATGTCCTCCTGCAGGAGACAGACATTCAGATACTGGTATTCTGGTTAAGGCCACCCCAGCCCTTGGCCCACCACTACCAGCCCCCGGCCACCTACCCTCAGGGCCTGCAGGTCAGGGAGGTCTGCCTGGGAGCAGAGGAGCACGTTGTTGGTCATGCTGAAGCTCTCTCGCACGCCCAGGTGGTAGAAGAGGGAGGGCTGTGCCAGGGAGCTGCTCACCTCCAGCACCACCACATCTGAGGGCACACGGCAGGAGGCTCTGAGCCCTGAAGCCCAGCAGGGGGAGAAGGAGCCTGGGGACCCATCCTGGCTCAGCCTGCCTTCCCATGTGACTCCAACAGGGTCCAGTTTTGCTCTGGGCCTCAGTTTCCCCCTTTTAGAGTCCCTCTGGCTCTTATACAGAAATTACATCTGTGGTATTGCAAGAAGAGGAGGGGAACTCACCTGACTACCATTCACACCCCACTGTTTAGAGCCTGGGGACCCTGGGCATGGAGAAGGAGAGGCTGTGCACCAGCCCACAGCCTGTTTCATGCTATTCGAGAGGCAGGAGTTGTGCAGAGATGTCGTCTTCTCTGGGTGCTCAACCCAAGTCTCTTGAAAGGGGCTGGCACCAGCAGTGTGCTGTACGTATACACATGTGTATACACACATGCCGTGTGTGTACAATGCTGTGCCTGTGTGTGTGTCTGTATCTCTGTGTGATAGTGTCTGCGACAGCCTATGTGAGTCAACATATATGCGATTTGTGAGTCTATGACTCTGTGTGTGTGTGTTTGTGTCCTCAAGGTCGAGTCAGCCTTCATTTTTTGGGCTGAGATTTTATGCAAATACGTTCATTGGGCTCCTGGATGAAAAAATAAATATCGGGGGCGGGGCATCCGGGTTGGTGGGAGGGCGGGGTGACCCGCGCGGAATAGCCGCCTTCTGGCCCCAGTACCTGACCGTCCGACTCAGCCTCCGGTCCCGCCCAGCTCCACGCATTCTCTCGGAACTATGGGAGCCTCATAACTTAAGCTCCCTCGCTTAGAATCCAGTGCTGTTGGGTCCCTCTGTTTCTCTTTCTGCCTCTTTAGCCTAATCTTCGGAAGCAGTATGCTAGGAACCCTGAACTACAGCCCCACAAGTGCGGCGCCACTCCCCAGTCCAAGTTCTAACTCCCAGGATCCTCCCTCATGAGCTCCGCGCGAGATCATCCTGAGACTGAGTTCTTCAACTCCACTCCTGAGATACCACACCCTGTCCCGTTCCCAGCCTTTCCCCAGTCCTAGCCTCGCTCCCTAGGCACGGTGCCGACTCGAGAACTTAAGCTCCAACCCTGAACCCCGAGCCGGGCCTGGATCCGCTAAATCCCTGCCCAAGCCTGGTCGCGCTCCAGATCCCCTAAACTTCCCTTTTATCACGTCCACGCCTCGAGCTCCTCGTCTTTAGCTCACTTTATGGTCCCATATCCCGGGCACCCACCTCGGGGTCTCCCAGGAGTTGCCGAGACACGCCCCCTTCGGGCCCTCCCCAGCCCCCTAAGCCCCGCCCCTGCCCCGCCTCCAAACACGCTCACCCGCGTTGTAGAAGGAATCCAGAGCCGCGGTGTCTCCCAGTGCTAGGGTCCCAAAAGGCAGGCTGCGCAGCTGAGGCCGCGGCCGCTGTCCGAGTAGTTGCGCGCAGGCCTCACGCAGGCAGCGCAGGGGCAGCGGCTCTGCCTCAGCTCCCGGCTCTGGCTCCGACCCCGGGCTGGGGCTCCCGGGTCAGCACGTAGACCACGCTGAGCGGCCGGCTTCGCGCACAGCCCCGG